TGCCACTGAGTGCATTCTGACTCCTCTAGGACAAAGTAGAACAGACCCTGTGGATTTCCCAGGCTATAAAGTTACCAGAGTACCAAGCCTCGTCTTTCTCCTGCGGAGGGGCTGGTGGATTTGAACTGTCGACCTTGTGGTTAGTAGCCCAAGGTATAACCACTATGCCACCAGTCCTCCTGTCAGTGGTCATGTCCTATATTCTTGTATGTCCCCCAAAATGTAGAACATGGAGTACATACTCTGCACCATTAGATGAATTAGATCCTCTTTACATTTGTAGCAACAGGCCCCGAATCCCTTTGCTGGTAGGCATTTCTCTGTATTTTATGGATTCCGGGAACCGAGTTTTTTTTCTTCGGTGCTGTGATTAAAAACTGGAGGAGAAGGAGAGGCATGTGGTTTTTGAGGCCCTCGTGGACGCTACATTTATTTAATTTGGACCTTCCACATGCCCAGGTCTGCGGGATGGAAAGAGTCCGCAAGGCCGTCGTTCCCTAATTGTAGGGAGAGAGACACAAACAAACTTGTGACCCGCGTTGCTCACTGCTAGGGCAGCAGCACCCGCAGAGCGCCTTGTCAGCCAGCAGCATGGGGAATAACTGGGAAGGGGCTGGGGCTAGTTGGCTAGCTTCCTTAGCTTGTTTGGGATTCCCCATCGCAGTGTAGGGGAGGAAGTATTATGATTAGGATTATTGGGATATCACTGACAGAGAAGCAACCTTCTTTCTAGAAGTGCTACGAAATCCATTGTGCCTGGAACCTAGGTTTCCTGAGGGGTGTGGTAGGAGGTCAGGTTAGAAATGCAGATTGTGGCCCAGGAAAGGAATTTGGCCTTTATTCTATTTTTTTTTCCTCTCTTTTTTAAGTGGGGTTGTGACATTTGAGCTTCAGGAGGATGACTTTGCCAGCACATGCTCGAGGGGTAAATAGAATAGTAGTTACTTTTTTTTTTTTTTTTATAAACTTAAAAGTAGTGGCCCAAACACCAAATCAAACACCAGCTGCCATCCAATCGATTCCCCCCCCTCCCCCAGCAATCCTCCTTAGGTTTCCAAACTACATTTTCGTGGGACCAGACCATCTCGCCTTTCTTCCAAGGAACGGCTGGCAGGTGTGAACCGTCGACCTCGTGGCTTGCCGTTCAAGTGCTCCCCCCACAGTGCCACCAGGGCTGTGCAAGCGGTGGGCAGTGAGGAGAGTATAAAAGAGGTGGGAGCAGAGTTGCTCTGGCTGCCGTGGGGTGGGGCTGGGGACAAGGGCACTATGCCTTCCCGCTGAAGCTTTGCAGAGCTCTCAGCAGTTCCGGGGGAGTGCCATGGGAGAGAAGAGTGAGGCTGTGCAAGGCCCGCGGAGGCAGAACAGGGCCTGGGTTAAGGCTGTGGTGGTGAAAAGGAGTAGGCAGATCAGTGCAGCACTCAGCTACAAATCATAAATGGTTGGTGCCTTGAACATCATCCGGAGGTGCCTCATAGAAACGCCTGGCCATCTACCTCTGACAGGTCGCAGGCATTTTAAACCCTGTGAAGCACAGCTGTACCCTACAGGTGGGGTCGTTAGGACTTGGAATCAACTTGGTGGGAACTGATTTGATCACTTTTTTGGGGGGGTCACGGTGGAATAGTGCACACATGAGGTGCGGTGGCTAGGGTGGGAGATTGACTGGACAGGTTTTGGTGAAAAGGATGAGGACAAAATGACTTGGAAGCTTTCTGACTCGAGTGACGACGCCAACTGGTTGCCAAGCTAGGAGAATTAGAGGAGACTGGCCGTTTGGGGGGAGGCTCATAGCGGGAAAATGGCTCGATGGGAGGGAGGGGCCCAGCAGAAGATTGAGGGTGAGGATCCAGGATTTTGTATCACTGAGTAGTAGGTGATGAAAGAGGTGGGAGGTGTTGGTGAGTTTTAAATGGAGGGTCAGCTTACCGTGGGAGCAGCAAGGGTGAGTGCACAAGTCCTGACTTTTAAGCAGAGTGGAGAGAGAGTGAAATGCAGAAAGCCCAACCCACTGCTTTGGAGGCGATCCCAGCTCCGGCAACCCTATCCCCGGAGTGTCCCTGGCTGGTAGGTTTGCCAGAACTTTCTTCTGCAGCACCTCTGGGTATCTTCAAACCACCCACTTGTACATGTGCAGTGGAGCACAGACCGTTTGACTCCTTTAGGGAATAGGTGCTAAATTCAGCCATGCAACAAGTTCTACTTGGAACAGAGGAGAATTTGGGTCATATTGGGACTAATTCCTCAAAGCTATGTGAAAGACTTTTTAAAAAGATATCACGTAGTCTTCTGGGGGAAAGGTACACCCACACAAAATCCCAGAAAACCAAGCTTTTTGTTCATCTTCTTTGACCCCTTTGTAAGGATTTTTGGTGGTTTTACTGGGTCAGCATTGGGTCGCTGATCACAAGGTTGGCAATTCAAACCACCAGCCACTCTGCTGAAGAAAGATGAGGCTTTCTGTGCCCATAAAGATTTACAGCCTCAGAAGCAACAAACCCCACATGGAAGAAGCACACCAGCGTGTGTGATCACGAGGTGTCGACGGGATCAAGTATCAGGCATCAAAGACCCAGAACAAAAAATCATATCAATGTGAATGAGGGGGAGTGAGGAGTAGAGACCCACAGCCCATCTGTAGGCAATTGACATCCCCTTACAGAAGGGTCACAGGGAGGAGATGAGCCAGTCAAGGTGCAGTATAGCAACGATGAAACATACAACTTTCTTATAGTTCTTTAATGCTTTCTTCCTCCCACTGTCATGATCCCAATTCTACCTTAGATCAGAGCATGTACACCGGTGCAGATAAGAGCTGGAAAAACAGGGAATCCAGGACACATAAACCCCTCAGGACCAATAATGAGAGTAGTGATACCAGGAGGGGAAGGGGAAGGTGGGGGGAGAAAGGTGGAACCAATCACAAGGATCTACCTATAAACCCCTCCCAGGGGGATGGGCAACAGAGAAGTGGGTGAAGGGAGACATCAATCAGTGTAAGACATGAAAAAAATAATAATTTGTAAATTATCAAGCGTTCATGAGAGGGAGGGTGGGAAAGGGAGGGGAAAAAATGAGCTGATATCAAGGGCTCAAGTAGAAAGCAAATGTTTTGAAAACGATGATGGCAACAAATGTACAAATGTGCTTGACACAATGGATGGACGTATAATAAGATTGATAAGAGTTGTAAGAACCCCAAATAAAGTGATTTTAAAAAATATTTACATCCTCAGACAGCTTTTAGCTATGAGTTGGAATTGACTCGATGGCAGTTGGTTTTTATTTCTTGGGTTTTTTTCCCCAGTAAAATGTAACGTGAGCCAGGTAGGCTTATTTTTATCCTCATTTTATGTGAGGGTGAAAAGTCGGCCCAGTCTATCTCAGTTATTCCTGCGGAAGCGGGAATGCCGTAGCAAGTCTTTAAAAACTACATAGCATGACGTAAAAAAATGGTAGCACGATGTGTGTTTTGTTTGTGCACCC